GAGTGGGACAAAATCCCTCCTGAGATGTGTGCAAACCTGGTGGCCAACTACAAGAAAAGTCTGACCTCTGTGATTGCCAACAAGGGTTTTGCCACCAAGTACTAAGTCATGTTTTGCAGAGGGGTCAAATACTTATTTTCCTCATTAAAATGCAAATCAATTTATAACATTTTTGACATGCGTTTTTTCTAGATTTTTTTGTTGTTATTCTGTCTCTCACTGTTCAAATAAACCTACCATTAAAATTATAGACTGATAATTTCTTTGTCAGTGGGCAAACGTACAAAATCAGCAGGGGATCAAATACTTTTTTCCCTCACTCTACCAAACTGCTCCTGAGGTGGAAATGATGGTTCTTGTATAGCATTAGCTGTTGAGGGTTCGCCTTCAAAGGATGGCTCTCGGGGAGTGACAACATTACTGCAAACTGAACTAGTGTTAGTTCCTTCTTCACAGCTGACAATAGTGCTGCTGTCATCATTATTACTCTCAGAGGGTTTTTGAAAGAAGTTGGCAATGAGTGGAACACTTGTAAACAAAACTCCCTCTTGCCTCCTTTTCTTTTTTTGTCTTTCTGTTTGGAAGCACCACTATTCCAACGTTTGTGGTCCATACAGTATTTCAGAACTAGTATACTATTTATATTAATATATTTATAGCATTTTAACTGCATGCGTATACAAGTCACCATATGTCGATGGTGATTAACTGTGAGCTGCCAAAAACAGGCTTTGCGATTTGTGCACACAAAAATGCCAGGATGTGCATGCATAATGCACATGCATAATGTTCATGCATTATATGCATGCGTAACACTATGATTCAATGTGAATACTCAAACCAATACTATATTGTAATTTTCATGAAATCTAATAATAAAGTTTTTCCCCTTTTTTCTGGCAACAAAACTGAAACCTTTTTACAAGGATTCATGTCTGCATTAACCACATTACCAGCAGTCAAAATGCAAACAAAAAAGCATACTATGATAATATATGCATTGTCCTTAAAACTGATTGGTCCACACCAAGGGACGGCTTTCTCTTGAGCCTCGACCCAATTGGTGCTTGACCAGATGACACCAAAAGACGTATATGAAATCATTAACCCCCCCCCGCCCCCTCTGGTCCTCGTGTAGTGGCGTAACGCGCGCATGGTATGAAAACAACAGTTGCATTCATGTACGGAGTTACAAACAGTGAGGTCAGCTCAGGATAAGCAGGTGCAGGTGGGAGGCCTTGGTGACAGCAGTCTGAGAGACGCCAGCAATTAGGGAAAGAGGCAGTGATTGGCTGGCTGCAAATGGAAACGCGGGGTAGGCACCACGGAGGCGAGAGATAGAGGCGATAAGGGGGAGAACACGTGCAAGAGACGCTGGAAAGATTCCGGCTTGATAAGGGCCATCTGAGGGCACTTAATGAGGAGGGGGATATAAGGGGGACGTGTGAGGCAGTGGAGTTGAGTTGGTTGGAGATGAAGCAGTGAAGAGATTCAAGAGAAGTCAGGGACCTCGCCCTCCACACCCCGTCCTCCCCAGTGGTGTTGGCTGAACCCCCGCTGGGGGAACGGGCGAGGTTGAGGTGCGGGTGGAGACAGGCTAGCAGTGGAGAGGCTAGCGTAATCTTTAGTATGAGTGTGATAAGCTATCGGGGTAAGAAGCTAGCAGAGTATACAGAGAGAGAGTCCGTGACAGGCTAGGAGAGCGGGGAGTAATAGGCTAGCGGAGCGAGAGAGCGTAAGCTCGAAGTAGCAGGCTAGCAGAGGAAGAGTTCGCGACAGGAGTACGTGGTGTTGAACAAGAGGAGCATCTGTGTGGGATGCGGTGAATAAAGTGACACAGGAGAAAAGACGAAGTTGTCCACGTGAATAAACGCCACACTACACTTGTACCTGATTGGCTCACAATGGACGATGTCCCATTTACCCTCTCTATTTAAGACCAAAATAGGAGGAGGATATCTTCACAACTCTGGCTGTCGCCTGATGAGGCTGAGTTGTAATTACGGGCCAAACGTCGTACTCGAATGGTAAATGTTGTGGGTTTACTCCCCAACACACCGGTGTGCTGAATTAGTAACGAATTGACATGTTTTGTTTACGTGACAAACCTTACTAATGGTGGCAGGTTTAACGACACGTTTACGCATTCTAACCCAAAAAACAAACAAACCTCAATGCATACAATATTGACCAGCAGCGTATCACATGATGGATTCAAAGTTTAAGAATTAAAACCCAGGTTAAAAAGGTACGATTTTTTTGCAGTTTCCGAAAGATATTTGAGCAATAGCAAAACAATTGAATAATACTCAAGACGTCAGCCTCAGATACTGCCATTTGCTATAAGTGCTCTCTTGCAATTCATCTTCACAATGGAAAAGCAAAGTTGTCTTAATGCTATAAATTGTTTGGCAGCTGGCATTACTGACTAAGCATTAAGCCCGAAACATTTGGTGCGTGTAACATAACCAATGGAACTGCACAACAGTACATGTAATCCATTGTGTGCTGATGTCCTGGCCAAATATGGGCGCTTATCCATTTATCTATTTACCGAATTGTTCTTCCCAGAAGGCCTATTAAAGCTAAACATGCATGCACTTAAATTGCAATAATTATTATATATTGTAGATGGTAACTGGCACGATAAAATACTTTATACGATTACAATAGTTTTGTTTATATAAAGGTACGGGCGCAGTCCTGAAATCTCGCCACTGCTGGCAGAAGGTTTTCACTAGAGAGAGGTCAAAAGAGCTCCTCTAGAGAGTAATTTGTCCTACTCTTCCACGCTGGCCAGATGTATTTCAAGAGGTGGGAGCACCCACACTTTACCCCACTACCCGTGAGCTGCCGATCAACTGACTATGGCGAACCCATTCATATTGCTGCCTGGACAAAGGAAGGTGGGAGGGATGAATGAAGATGCCTGTGCATTGTTCCAGCTAAAACTATCAACTATTTTATTTTATTTTTTACCAGGTAAGACACACTGAGCTATATAGCTCTTTTTCAGGAGCGACCTGGCCACAAATTATAGCTCAACAAAGTGGCTTATCATGTGGAAATGTATAGCAGCAACATACTCTAAATGCAAGCTTCTAAATATGGAGGGATGCGTCAGGGTCGAGATCGAACCCACGACCTCCTGCATACCAGGCGAGGGAGTTAACATCTCGGCAACCTGGCGTCCAGTTATGATCGAACTCCTCGACCTTTGTCTTTGACAGTAATGTTGTTTACGTGATATACTAAACAAGTATTATATAGTAAATTAAATGCATCTAAAGAACGGGGCCAAGAATCATTCTGCTGAAAACACATTTGGCAGTACACATTTTTGTTATCCTTTAAGATTTTCTCATGAAGATTTCATAATTAAGACATTAAAAACAGAATAATTAGAATTTCAACACATAATCACATTAAAAGTTACGTGTTTAATTACCAATTTTATACATCTACATTTTTATTTAGAATTAAATCTAAAGGTCCCATATTGCGAGCAATTTAAAAACTTGGAAATGAAAGAGCGTGCAAATATGAACATGAACAAATCATGATGCTCTGTTTTATTAATTGGATTACTAGGTTAAATCTCAAAAGAGAGGCAGTGCTAATGAATGAAGTATTTTATGAAGTAATTTAAAGTTTACTTAGATTATATTCTCACTCAGGATACCTACTATGCAATGGTTTTCAAAGAGGCATTACAAGCTCCCGTTATTTTTACTTGTACAGATATGCATTGGATGCCGCCGTGGGAAAGTATGGTGGGCTAAAAAGGGAGTACTGCCACCTCTTTCAAGATGTCTGGACAGCGTAGAAGAATAGGGCAAAATATCATCTGCAGGGTCTGTCTCGAGCTCCTTATAGTGGCATTGGCATGAGCGGGTAATTGCAAGGCTGTACCTTTATATTTTTTTATATTTTGCTGTTGCCTTTGATATGGACTATGCTCGGTGTGACGGGTACGGACATGAGGGCACAGTCAGGTTTCCACCTTTCCGATGGACCAAACCTTGACAATTCTCAATAGTCAGCCTCGGTCGGTTGAAACTGTGCATGCAGTACACTGTGATGCGATTCAACACAATGTCGGTACCAGATCTCGGTACAAATCCATTCCTGCCACCCGAACACAGATGCCAATTGCTGGTCTGTCCAACCTGGCCAAGTGGGAACTTTCGGGCAAAGCTTTTTCTGCTGCAAAGCATGTGATTGGGACGTGATGGCCAATCACGCAAACAGCTCAAACACTGAGTTGTGTAAAGCCCTTCATCCTCTGTCTTGAGCCACACCCATTATGTCCTCTCTCACCACCACCACCACACCTTGCTGGCTGAGTGGCTGCTTGTGATTCCAGGCATGAACCTGCATGCCTGGAATATAAAAAATTACACGTATAAAGAATAGAAGTGTGTGTGTGCATGTTTGTTTGGTAATGACAACAACAATAAACGGAGCGCCGGGTGGCTAAAATACAGCAAGTTTGCAGAGTAGGGGGCACAGGTCGTGCATCTGCCAGTCATCTCAGTCAGTCAACCCATGGCATGTGAGTCTGTTCCGTGACCTGCCAGCGGGTGTTCGACACTTCACGTGGTCTTAAAGTGCACATAGCCTGGCACAAGCGCCATGGTGACGTTACCGCCACTTAGTGGTGAATGGCGGTTGTTGTTGGTAATGAGTGGGGAACAGTGCTCTGTTTACTGTGTTCAGATATCAGTGTCTCAGATTTAGTTCCTGGCTAAGAACAACATCGGTGGAAAGTGAAATCTGAAATTGGTCATTGAGGCTCCTCTAAGTCAACTCAGCATTAAATTAATACTGTACGTGGTGTGTTGTGATTTTCACTGGGGAGACAAAGGTGGCTGGGAGCGGTGATGACCACACCATCCCCTCGTGGGCTTTTCCTGCCTTTATAGGTGCTCACTAACAGAATGTAGGGGAAAGTACCATGTGTACATATATATGTATGCATTATATGTTACAATACTTACAAATTTGAAAGCTCTTGCAAATTCTGGAAAATGTTCAGCGGCAGCTTCTGGATTTTGTTTGCTGAAATGTCACTATAAAGAAAAATAGAAATAAATATTGTCACGGAGCAATTGAATACAGAATAATCGTTAGTAATGAATGTTATGCTTTGTCCAAAAGCCATAATCCATGTAAGATTTACACAGCAACTTGGCATGTATTCATTCTCATCGGTACATTTACCATCATTGATCCAGGCTTCCATGAAGGCTCTCACTTTGTGACCCCAATGGTTATTATCTTAATAAGCAAAATAAAAGACAATGGAATTCATAGAATTAATAATAAAAGTAACTCATTCAGAATATATATCATCAGGCCTCTCATGGTCTTGCGATGTTACAATCCATCTGGCTGCTGTACACAAGCTGTTTCCCTTCAACGTGACTTTACCGAAAGAACCAAGAATATGAATCACTGCATTCACGAAAGCTTTAAATCAAAATTGTATTTGAAGTAATTGGCCAAACATACCAGTGCTGAAAATGAATCATGAGCCTGAGTGAGACTTTAATGGATAAATAAAGCAGACATTATTATCGTTTCTGTATTAGTATTTTTAAGGTGTAGACTTTGCTTGCGGCATCATGCTTTTGTATTTCGTCGCTAAAAACACATTTAAATAATAAAACACAAGCAGCATGAATCAAATGGAAGGGTACAGGAAAAAGAGTGGCTTCGCAATGTACGTAAGTTTTAATGAGCACAAACGACAAAACAGTACTGTAGGCAGAGAGTGAGAGAGTAAATGATAGGTCATGTAGTTAGAAGGTAAGTAGGATAAATGGGCTTGCAGTGTTTCGCAGAGAGATTTCACCAATGATAATATTGAATTCGAGGCCAGTAGAGACGTATAAGGTAGTATTTACAATAAACTGGGCATGGTGTGGCAAGCACCACTCCCCAGTTGCCTTTGTCTCCCCAGTGCTATATATACACACACACTGTGTCAGTTATTAATCTTAAGTTTGTCTCCTAAATTAAACAAGTTTTTAACAAAAAAGAAGAATCGGTCATGATCAATCCACTGCTGGATAAAGGCCTCCACAAGCTGTCACCATCTCAAATCCACTCCTTCCTTTTTGTTAACCAAAAACAAAACACGCTGCCATTGAATTCACGTGTACAAACATATCAAGGGCATGGTTAATGAGAGGCTTGTTCTTACAGTTCTCCCAGCTTCTTTAGAGGTGAAAATGTATTTTCGCCAAGAAGACTGAGTGCATTCCTCTGCAGAACCCTGCAACACAAAAAAAAAACAGGGGAACAACCAGACACGACAACCATATCAGTACCTTCCCTTTGGGTTTGTAGGGGTGTAAATTTTTATTTAAGATTCGTGATGGAATTTTGGGTTAGGCCATGTAATGATCTGGCCAAATTGAAACCTTCCACCACCAGAGAGACACAGAAAATAAATTGTCACGCCGTGTACAAGCGTTCAACGCCCCAATTATTATTATTGTTGTTACAGCTCACTCAGCAGTGAGTTAAAGAACATTTCTCGCAGCCATATTTATAAATTAGATAATGACATTTTGTTTGCAACTGCGCCAAGAGTGTTCAGGTCAGAAACCAGGATTTCAGAATAACTGAAGGTGCTTGATGCCGGTTCAAGATCGCACCATGTCTGTCCAGTGCTCGCCGAGCTGCATGACTTGCGGGTGTCGACCGAATACATTATAAGATCGCACTTATTGCACACAAAGAGCTTACCGTAAATTAACTACAATACCTTGATGATATCGTGACGGAGCATAAACCATCACGTGAACACCGGTCATCCTCGCAGCAACTTTTGGCTAGCCATTGAACAAAGACGGTCACTACATCGCCCGCTTTCAGATGCCCTTCTGTGGCTATCTGGAACACTCTTTCTTCGGATATTAGGAAACCACTGGAGCTATGCACTTTTATAATCTAGATTGGAAACTCATTTCTTTAGAACAGATTTTTGTATTTAGTTTGTTTTTCTTCCCCTGCACCTCAGATTAGCACGGTTGTCTATGTGCGGTGTGAAAGAAGTTCAGCATACTCTTATGTTCTTTCGGTAAAGTCAAGTAGGTAAGAAAATAATTACATAATAGATCACGACGTTTCGATTGCAACAACAAGCGATCGTCCTCAGGTGAAAGAGAGAAACATGCCTCTGTGACAAGGCATTATATAGAGGGGGGAGGGGGAGGGGAGGCCGCAAAGGGGCGAGAGGGTGGGGAAAAAATTCAAAGAGGGCTTGGGTGAAATAGAGAAAATAAATGTGACAGGGAAGCTTAGACATCAAACTTAACAACATTGTGAAAGGTAATGCAACTCAGAGTCGGCTAACACAACAGTTAACATTTTTGCCTGGTTGATCCAGTCCTTCCAAAGATTGCTAAATTTTGCATCCATCTTCTCGGTTGAAATTGCGTCTGAGTTGTGTGGAAAACCTCCCCGTAGAGGCAGTCTTGATTCGAAGCTTCCAATAATAATAATGCAATTTATAACGCAAATTTGCCGACGTAACGGCCGCAACTCAGAGGCGCGGAGCCAAGCTCAGAGTCACTCTAAAGCGTGGTTGTAGAGGTGACTTTTTAAGTGACTCTTGAAGGAGACGATAGAGGTGATGCTGCGAATGTGCAGAGGGATTGCGTTCCAGACTGTTGGCGCAGCCACCGAGAAGCGGCGCTTAGACGCGACCACCCTGGATCTTGGTATCAACATACAGTACATACATAGCACTCAAGAATTTGAAGGTCCTGAGTTGAAATTCCAGTTGGGTTCTACTCAAGATATCATACGTCTGAGTAGATACAATCCACAATTTCGAGTGGTTGCCCTATGGCAGGGACTGCCGTAAAAATGTCGAACTTGCATAATTTGCTTAGAGCCAGCAACACAGATGAGCACCACCCCATGGAGATCATTTGGCATGCAAAAACAATAATGGATGAACATAAGGTGAGACTCTCAGTGCAGAAATTGGTTGCAGATGCCCAATGCTGGCTGAAGGGCCTCCACTAAAGGGAGCTCCAGAGACCCCTTCCAGAGGGCATTTGGCCTACTACTCCGTGGTGGCAAGACATCTCAGAAAGTGGTGGAAGTACTAGCACTTTACCCCCATAGCATGCAACCTGCCCATCGACTAACTGCAGTCCACCCCGTCCGCACTGCCGGGGGCGGAGGATTTTCAGAAACGTGCACCGTTGTTTCGGCTGCCGCACCAGGAGGTTGAATCAGCGCCCTCTAGGCTAAAAATCCAATGCGCTCACCATTACGCTACGGCAGTGCGACATCGGCAAACACAGTGCGCCTTAAAAAAAAAACACACACACACGAGCTAATTTGATCTTGGGTGGGTGGTCTGATTTGAACACGGGATCTCGGCGGAGCTGAATCAGCACTCTAGCACCCTGAGCCGCTCAGCCACCACAGGAAGCTATACAAATTAATAATAATTTCAGATAAAATGTCAGGTGCGTTAGTCATGTTCTGCAGGTTCTCTTGCCATGTGCCACTCTTAGGAAAAAGCGTCAATATGCTGAATCTTGTTGGCATTTAAGAATGTGTTGGTATGAGAACACCGAGTGGACATGACAATTGTAAATGCATGAGAATTGTTGCATTAATTAGAATTAAATATTAATTAGTATATGTGTACATTGTCCTGCACATACGTACATACAGCAGTTGGTACGATTATTCGCAAATGGAAGAAACACAAAAGAACTGTCAATCTCCCTCGTCCCGGGGCTCCATGCAAGATCTCTCCTCGTGGAGTTGCAATGTTCATGAGAACGGTGAGGAATCAGCCCACAACTACACGGGAGGATCTTGTCAATGATCTCAAGGCAGCTGGGATCTTAGTCACATTAAAACAATTGGTAACACACTACGCCGTGAAGGACTGAAATCCTGCAGCGCCCGCAAGGTCCCCCTGCTCAAGAAAGCAAATATACATGCCCGTCTGAAGTTTGCCAATGAACATCTGAATGATTCAGAGGACAACTGGGTGAAAGTGTTGTGGTCAGATGAGACCAAAATGGAGCTCTTTGGCATCAACTCAACTCGACGTGTTTGGAGGAGGAATGCTGCCTATGACCCCAAGAACACCATCCCCACCGTCAAACATGGAGGTGGAAACATTATGCTTTGGGGGTGTTTTTCTGCTAAGGGGACAGGACAACTTCACCGCATCAAATGGACGATGGACGGGGCAATGCACCGTCAAATCTTGGGTGAGAACCTCCTTCCCTCAGCCAGGGCATTGAAAATGGCTCGTGGATGGGTATTCTAGCATGACAATGACCCAAAACACACGGCCAAGGCAACAAAGGAGTGGCTCAAGAAGAAGCACATTAAGGTCCTGGAGTGGCCTAGCCAGTCTCCAGACCTTAATCCCATAGAAAATCTGTGGAGGGAGCTGAAGGTTCGAGTTGCAAACGTCAGCCTCGAAACCTTAATGACTTGGAGAAGATCTACAAAGAGGAGTGGGACAAAATCCCTCCTGAGATGTGTGCAAACCTGGTGGCCAACTACAAGAAACGTCTGACCTCTGTGATTGCCAACAAGGGTTTTGCCACCAAGTACTAAGTCATGTTTTGCAGAGGGGTCAATTACTTATTTCCCTCATTAAAATGCCAATCAATTTATAACATTTTTGACATGCGTTTTTCTGGATGTTTTTGTTGTTATTCTGTCTCTAACTGTTCAAATAAACCTATCATTAAAATTATAGACCGATCATTTCTTTGTCAGTGGGCAAACGTACAAAATCAGAGGGGATCAAATACTTTTTTCCCTCACTGTATACAGTGGTACCCCGGAGATCGAAGGTTCTACTGTATAAGCAATTGCACTTGTATACAATTACAAATACAGTAGAACCTCGGAGATCGAACGCACCAGAACTCGAACAAATCGATGTTCGAACGATATTTCCGAACATTTTTTGCCCCGGAAACCGAACGAAATTCGGAGGTTGAACGGGCAATCGCGACTTGAAAGAACCTAGGAATAGGTTTAACCCTTTTAACTGGCACAAAAACTGACACCTTTATTCAAGGCATCATGTTTGCAATAACCACAACACAAGCAGTCAAAATGCAAACAAAAAAGACAACTCTGATAATATGCACTGTCCTTGAATTTGATTGGCCCACACCCGAGACAGCTTTTCTTAGAGCCTAGTCTCCACTGGTGTTGGACCAGAAGACGCCAAAAGGCGTACAACTCAAAAACAGCACACTATCAGAGTATTGAGGGCTCGGGGTGAGCATGTACATTATGAGACCTCCTTTGCCAGTAACAAGATATAGGAATAGGTTTTACCCTTTTAACTGAAAGAACCTGTACGGCTGAGACGCGTATGGCCAGCAGCGTGCATGACGCTTGCCCAGACAAAGGTTTTAACACCTCCTCCTCCTCACCACCTTCCACTCAAGCCATCAACTCTCCTTACTGCAGGTAAAGTCAAGTTCAATGTTAATTTATTTCATTTATTCCATATATTTATTCCATTTATTGATTGTGTTTCTTGTTTTTTTTGTGTGATTTTATGCATGTAATTACTGTAAACTTCGTGTAAAAATGCTTTATAATGAGACATTTCTTGTGTCTGGAACCAATTAATGTCATTTACATTCATTCTTATGGGGAAAATTAATTCGGTGTTCAAACAAATCGGCGTTCGAATGGCCTTCTGAAACGAATTAAGTTCGATCTCCGGGGTACCACTGTATATCTATATATCTCTCGCAGGGTAATGTTAAAGCACATGGCGTACAGAGGAAGCAATGGAAATGCACCAAAATGTTGGGGCACTTATCAGCGGACAATGAAATAATGATTTGATTATAATCAAATGCTCTAAAAATGCCTTTAATTCAGCAACAATCATTCTGATCACGAACAAATCCTTGTAATGTGTTCCCCCTTGAAAATTTACAAACAGGCTACTGATGACGGCGTCTATGAAGATAGTTTCATATTATATTGATAATTATAAAACATAGCAGCAGTGGCACCATTTTTCAAGAGTTAGCCATTATGTTCCATAGCAATTCCAAAGTTTTTCCTAGCCATTCGAAATCAAGTGTTAGTCATCATAATTAAATTACATTAACGTTTAATGCAAGAGATATATTTTTTTCATCTCTGCACATTTTTACAAATACAGTGCAGGAATTGATGAGATGCACTTTAATTGTGATGAGATGGCTTTGTGGTTAGAGTACCCGACTCTCAACCAGAACATTTCTA